ATCTGTATATATATAAAGAAATATATAAGTATATGCTATATATATATATGAGTATATATATAAGGAATATACAAAAAGTATATATAATAAATATAAAAGAATATTTGGCCTTAAAAAAAGAAGAGAATTCTGCCATTTGCACATGTATGAAACTTGAAAGGCATTTTAAATGAAACAAGCCAGTCACAAAAAGACAAACTGCATGATCTCACTTACATGTGGAATACTTTTTTTAAAAAAAGCTAAACTCATAGGGCTTCCCCGGTGGCTCAGTGGTAAAGAATCTGCCTGCTAATGCAGGAGTCAGGGGTTAAATCCCTGGTCTTCGAAGACCGCACATGCCTCGGAGCAACTAAGCCCTTTTGCTACAACCCTTGAGCCTGTGCTCTAGAGTCCAGGAGCTGCAACTACTGAAGCCTGCACGCTGGAGAGCCGCTGCTCTGGAACAAGAGAAGCCACTGCAATGAGACGCTCACACAGCAGCAAAGACCCAGCACAGCCAAATAAATAAATAAATATTTTTTTAAAAAGCTAAACTCATTAAAAAGAGAGTAGAACAATGATTACCAGATGCAGCAGTGTAGGGAAAAGGGGAAGGTTTTTCGTGTTTTTTTAAAGCAGAATGCTGGTTGCCAAGGGCTGTAAGGATAGGAGAATGGGACCTTATTTAATGAGTACAGAGTTTCAGTTTAGCAAGAAAAGAGTTTTGGTGATGGAGGGTGGTGATGGCTGCACAATAATTTGAGTGTATTTAATACAAATGAACTGTACACTTAAAAATGGTTAACACAGTAAGTTTTATGTTACACATATTTTACCACAATGAAAATAAATGGAGAAAAAATGCCATCTATCTTCTGTTCTGGCCAAACTGAAGAGTTAATGTTGATATAGTGGGAATCACCCTGAATCTTTCAAATCTTTGACGGTGGTGCTAATCCCTATAACGGAGATAAAGTATTATGCTTTCATTATGTAGTTAGGGAGAGCTCCAGGGCCTTCCATTTAGCCCTTCTCAAAATAGCCCTTACTCCCCGAGTCAGGCCAATGTCAAAATTGTGCCCTTGATGGAACAACAACAACTCTACATATAACCACCATAAGGTTTCAGGATACCACTGACTCTCGCATGAGACAAGCTGCACTCAAAGCTATTTTTAAAAAATTTGTTCTACGTGCATGTCACATATTCAAAAAAGTAAATATTCCATTTTAACAAATACATAATCATTACACTTTTTTAATGTTCTTTTGTGTATCACTCAGAATCCTCTCACATACACAAATACTTTTTTGAAAACACTGACCTAGTATGTGCCCCAGTCATCTCATCTTTATCACACTTGTAATTGTGTATATCAGAGTCCACTCTTCCCACCAGACTGAGGAGCTGAGTCTCCCTGCCCCAAGCACCAAACGCTGGACTCCCCGTGGACCATACACTGAAAATAAGGATCTAGACAATCCCTTCGTCCCATTCAGCACAGGCTGTCCACAAGCCCATGAGTTCTGGCTGGCTGATGCTGAGCAACCGTTTCATCTTTTGTAGCCCCCGTTTTCTCCGCTGCAAAATAGAAGCTCTCGCACCTGCCAGGTCGTGCAGGTACGAGAAGTCAAGTCACGGCTGTGAAAGTAGTGGAGCACTACAGAAATTATTAATATTACTAACATTCACTCATCCATTTAACAGCCAATTTTGAAGCGCCCAGGGCCGTGCAGCACGGTTACTACAGCGCACACCCACTCCACGGGCGCGGGCCACGGGGCCGCAGAAGCCCCAGGCGCCGGAGCCCCCACCGCCGCCGAGCCTGGAAGCGGGAGCGGGTGAAGGGCCCCCGGAGGCGCCGGCGGAGCCCTACCGCGACGGCCCCAGGGAGGAGGACGAGCCCGAGCTGGCGCCCGGCCCTCAGGTAGGAGCGAGCGAGGCGAGTCTGGCTGCTCGGGTGCTTTCATCTCCCCGGAATGGCGCTGGGGCGGGCTTGGGGATGGACCATCCCTGGCTGGGACCAGAACCTTAACCCTCAGGGCCAGGGCTGAGGCTTTCTCCCCCAAGGCGGGAGTGAGCCTGGACCCTTTGGTCCAAAGCCGAGGCACGGCCCGTCCGGTTCTGAGTGAGACCAGCCTCCCTGCCCTCTCCCTCCGGCTCCGGGATACATTCTGGTCGCACACCCACTAGGACCGCTCTCCAGTCTTAAGGCCACAGCTTAGCTCTGTGCCCTTCACCTTCCCTGGGCCCACCTGCTCCCCACCCACCCACAGGCCACGTCGGGGCTCTGGGGCCTGGAAAGCTGCAGCCTGTTCCCTCTCCACCCCCTCGGGAGCAGCTCCACCCCTTCCCTTCGCTGCTCCCTCAGCAGCTGTGCCCCCAGCATCTGTCTCCAGAGCGCCCTCCCCCTCACCCCCCGCCTTGCCCAGCTGAGCAGTGGAAGCAGACAGCCAGGCTGCCTAGAAGACTTATTTGGTGGGGCTTCTGACTGAGTTGGAAACCCAGCAAAGCCTGCCCTTTCTCCCCGCTACACCCCCGACCTACGGGGCAGCCCACCCAGATCCTCAGATCCCTGGGTTTGGCAAATCCTGCTGAAAGTGAGCAGTAGGAGGACTCTCCAAGGCTTCCAGCTTGCCACCTGGAAGAAGGTCACTTTCTTTTGAGCAAAGGAGATAATAGGAGGTACCCTGCCAGTGTTCACTGCGACGCTGGGGTGGCATGAGCCACAGCTCCTCTGGGAGGGTTGTGGCACCTGGGGCTGGGTGGCTCGCCCTAAGCTTGCTCTGACAAAAGAGTTTTGAGTTGGTTTTTTGGATGAGTCTGCCGAGGAAGGCAGGCTCCTGCAGGAGTCTTGGAGGGTCGGATGCAGCGCCGGATGAGGATGAGGCGTGGCGGAAGATGCGTTTGGCTCTGCAGACACTGCATCGGGCAGCAGGGGACTCTGGGAGGCTGGTGCAGCCAGAAGGCATGGCTCTTGACAGCCTTCTAGTAGAATCTCTGGAATTGTGCATGTGAGTGGGGATGCTGTTTGGGGTACCATTCCCAGAAAGCCTTTCCTGACCTCCCCAGCTGTGTGAGGTGCCCCCTCTGTCCCACAGCCCCCATGCCCTCCTCTGGTAGCACTCCCCGTTCTACAATGACATAGTCTGTTGATGTGTCTGTTCCCCCCACTGAACTGTGAACTCCGCAGGGCCACAAATCATGCCGTCTGGCCCCAGCCCTCCACGCCTAGCCCTGGGCCTTGCTGACACAGAGTAGGAATAATTAGGTGAATGAGAGAGAATGAATCCTTTGAGAACCCGAAATTACTGTAACCCAGTTTTTATACTGTCTCCTTTGTGTCTTAGATCATAGTAAGATATTTAATTAATGAAGATGTCACCACTTAGTGTGAGAAGCACCCCCTTCATCCCTATCCCCTACACTGGGCTGAGACTGTTTCCAAAGGACTCCTAAAGTTGAGAACACAAGTTGGACCCCACCCTTACCTAGTCTAACTTCCCACCCTGAAGCTGTTTCCCCCTCTAGCCTCCTCTGGACCCCTGGGAGTGCTGTTTTCCAGAAGAGGAAGGTAGGGGAAGGGAGGGTCAGGGAGCTGTTGTCTTCTCTTATTTACCATTCAGGTTCCCCTGCCACTTAACCAGCCTGTAGTATTCATGGCGAGAAAGTTTGGTTGATGGCATAACCATTCAGTTTTTATTTAGGTCGCAGTTTTAACATGATAGATTCCTACCTACTCCACTGCTTGACCTTTCAGTTCATTCATTTATTCATGCTAGGCATTTTACATACCTTCCCACCACCCCATGTTCTCCTCAGCATTTAGTGTGAATGTGATGAGTTAACCATTGATATAATTATTAGTCTGCTTTTGCTTTGTAAACTCTTGAGAGTGTAGGAACCAAGTCAGTCACTGTTGTACCACTAAGCTTGGTGATTGATAAATTCTAATGAATGAAGATATAAATACTATTAATCCCATTTTTCAGATGAAGAAACGGAAACTCAAAAAACTAAACATTTGCCCAAATAACTCCTACTATAGGTACACCTACCACCACCCCATAAAGTACTTTCTTGTGTACTGTGGGGTATTTAGCCAGACTTTTTTTTAAAACTCTAGCTGTAATAGGTGAAACAAATGGACAAACTTCTGATTGAGCCCCATTTTTGCTGGGTAAGGGGATTCTGGGTGCCAGAAGCAGGCCTTTGTGCCTTGATGAAAAGCACCTGCTGAAAGAATTGGGATCAGTCCTTGCTCTGCCCGCAGGCATACCTTTGGCGAGGACCTCTGGCTCCCACCACCACTTAATCCCCTGTCTTAAGTACTTAGAGTGGGTAAGTAGGGTGAAAGTCAATGTCGAATGCCACACTGAAGCCAAAGCTGGAGAATGGGATCACTTTCAGTCCATACACAGGGTTTAATGCCCCAAGTCACATGTTTTGTTTCTTTTTTGTGTTTTCATTTGAGCCAGTATTTTTAAAAATCAATTTCCCACAAAACTGGATTTATGCCATCTGCTGCTAAAAATCTGGTGCTGCTAGGCCCACATTTCCAGAAGGTAGTCATCTGCAGTCTCTGGGAAGTGTCTGCCCTCTTCATCATATGAAGGACACCTGATCTGTGCCAGTCCCTGGGCTAGCTGGAATACAGAAGTGAATCACCTGTGGACCCTCTTCACAAGGGGCTCATTTGATCTAGAGAACATGTACATAGTAGTCATGGTAAGGCTAGAAGAGCATTGCTTTCTCTGAGTTAAGGCTCATAGGCCTCTCTGGTTCCATCCAATCTCCTTTGCTCGACCTTGAACTTAATTGGAATCCCAAAAGCCCTTTCTTCTAATTGTTTAGGCCCCTAAACAACATTGATACATTCACTAAAAACCCAAATCCTTGTTTGTTTGGGTTTTTCCCCCCAGGAGAAGACTAAAACAGTTGTAGCCGCCTTAGTGAAGGATGGGGGGGCGNGGGGGGGGGGTGCAATTACAAAGCAGTTGAAGGAGGCAGAGAGACATAGTATTTAATCTTACAGACTTGGGGTGAACTTCCTGCTCAGTCTCCTAGCTTTGTTACTCTAGGCATGTCTCTTCCCGTCTTTAAGACTGTGCAGCTTCACAAGAGAATGTGGAGCAACCCACAAAGCATCTAGTGCTCCTCATGCCAGAGCTAGAATTGGATGTGGCATGTGGCAGGAGCCATTTGGCCATCCGCAGCCTGAGTGTTCTCACCTGCCTGCTCCACTGACTATTTCTAGTTCTCTTGGACCGCTCAGCTGGTAGTCCAGGTGCACACTCACTCAGTAAACCCCGAGGAGACTCGCTAGACTGTAAACTGGCATTGGTAGGGGTTGAGCGCATCCTGTCCTTCCCGTCTCTCCTCTGCAGCTTCCCATGGGACTGTGCCCAGCCTAGTTTAAAGGATCTCCAGAGACCTGGCTCTACCACTGCTCAGAGTTAAACCTACTCCCTCATGGGACAGGAGCAGATGACAGTCAGTATCTTTATTAAAATCATCTCATTATATTTAATCCACTCAGCAAGTATTAATAACCTCTGTGCCAAGGCCTTTATTCAGAGCACACAGATGAATGAGATAATCCCTGTACCCTGACACTTCCCCCATAAAATCACTGCCCACCTAGCCATTTTAAATGCAGGTAGGAGGAGATAATGCTGAGTAGAGATCCCTGTCACCTCTGGTCCTTTGTAAACCAGTAGGGCTTCACCATGTAGAAATGCCAAAAGACCTTTGAAGATTAAAACTTACTTCCTAAAATTTTAAATTTCCTTAAAATTTCCCAGAACTATTAAGTTTAATATTAGATGTACTATTAATATCCTAAAACCTTCACTTACTAAGCCTAGAATTTTGTGAGCTTGGGCTATGTTTTTAATTCATTTCTGGAGTATTTATTGCACATTGTCCTTATGTGCTCAATGAGTGGCTCTTAAACTATAATAAAAGAAACATTAGGTTTCTGGCACCTTATTCTTACTGCCTGCACTGCTAGGCCAGGCTGGCAGTCACTCATTCATTCAGGCCCATTACACATGCACTATGCCCAGCCTTCATCTCACCTAACCTGGTGTTCCCTTATTCTACCAACACTAATAGAGTCCTGGTCTATGCTGGGTCCTGGGCTAGCTGGTAATATAGAAGTGAATCAGACATGGTCTCTGCCCGCAGGGGCTCATGGTCTAAAGAACATACATGAAATAATTACAGTTAAGTTAGAGGAGCATCACTTCCTCTAAGCTGAGTCAAATTCTAGTTCCTGGTACACACCTTGAGAAGTGTTTCAGCCTTTTGTTTGGCTTTCTGTGTGTAAAATGACAGTGATACTGGACTCAAACTAGGGATCAACAGGCACTGCATGTCAAGCACTGAACACATGTAGTAGCTTTGATTAGTATAGATGCTTTGTTTTGAGGATGCACAGATTTAATAGCCTAGAAAAGGCTTCTTGGAGCTGAGGCTTCAAGGTCAAGTAGAAGGTCCTCCAGAGAAGGTGAGGCAAAACGTCTGGGCAAAGTAAGCAGCGTAAACAAAGATCCAGAGTCCAGAACTGCCCAACTCATGGAGAGTGGCGAGAAGTCTGATTGGAGAATTTAGTAGGTTTGGGCTTTATCCTATAGGCTATGAGGTGTCAACAAAAGATGTGGAAAAGTGAATGAGAGTGTGGGAGGAAGTAATTTTCAGTAGAAGAAGCAACTGTGATTGCTTGATTCTACCTCCCTCTCACCCCAACCTAACTAATGATCAGATCCCTTGTGCCTTGCTAGACCCTATCCCACACCTAGAGTCTCTAGATCTGGAGCCCAGGAACCTGTTCTTAAATTGCCCTAGATGATTTCTGATGTGTGGCTGGGTCTGGGAACTGTTTAACTGAGGGTGCCATAGGGATCTCTGTAGAGGCCTAGAGTATTCTTTAAAGAATGGAGCTTCCTGGGGAAGGAGAGAGCTTTTCCCTAAGCAGAAGAAGAAGCAGCCTTAGTTTTTAAAGGAAAAAAAAAAAAAGCAAACTTTTTCAGGTTCGCCATTTGTCCATATTCTCCAACTGCTAATCTTTCTTTCTGTATCAAAACATGTGCTGCCATCTCTGCTGAACAATTGGGATGCAGTGACTCATGGGAGACAGGCCCTGCCCTTGAAAAGCTCACAGTGCTATGGAGAAGACAGATTTTGACAATCGGGGTACACGTGATAACCTCTGTTCAGGAGACATGTAAAAAAAGTGTTAGGGCATCCCCTAACACAGAGCAAAGCACAGTTTATTTAGCCTGTAGACTTAGGAGAATGTAATACCCAAACTGAGCCTCAGTAGGAAGAGGCAAAGAGGACAGTGTGAGTGGAGATACGCTTTATGAATTGGGGAAAGGGAATGAATATTGTGGAAAGGAGTGGTTCATGGTTCTTCGTGGCAGAATATGCAGAGCAGAAAAGAACTGAGGAGAATGCTTGTGTCCTCGGGAGGACCCTGTGTTTGCACCTTTCAGTTCTGTGCCCATGTTCCCACCCTCATCCTTCCAAGTGCAAGATGGATGAACATGGTGCTGTCCTATGGGCCACCTCTCCGTTATTCCCTCCCCAAGACTCTTAGCTATCCAGCTCCCTTCGTGGTTTCTCCCGCCATTCTGAAGTGAGTAGATATAGAGTAATTAAGGCAGAAAGAAGGGCCTGGAAATGTTGAAGGTTCTTATTGTGAAGTTGCAGCCAGAGAACATGGGCTGGGGGGTTAGAGGCCTTGAAGGTCATCTGTCTAGTCTTCTGTCCGGTGCTTCAAGTCATAACTTTGGATTGGGCAAGTCTCACTTAGTAAGTTTCCCTGTCATTTCTTCCAGGACAGAAGAGGAAAGAAACTAACGGGTATTGAGCACCTACTGTGTGCCAGGCCCAGGCCAGGTACTTTACATAATTTATTTCCTTCTGTCCTCACAACTCTGTGAAGTATGGTTTTATTCTCATTTCATAAATGAGGAAATTGAGGCTCAAAGAAATTCAGTAATCATCCAAGGTCATACTGAAAATGGCAAAACTTGGATTTGAACTCAACAGTCTGTCTTCAAAGGTCATTCTCTCCCACCCGTGAGAACTCTGTTGCCATTACAGAGTCCTAAGGTTTGCCTGGGGTTCCAGATGAATAAGCAGGAGCTCAGGCCTTCCCATGACTGACTGCACCCAGGAAACAGGTTCAACAGGTGAACTAGCTTTCGCAGGTAGAGGGCCATTGGGGTCAGAGAGACTCACTGCTCTATCCCTGACTCAGCCTGTACAGCCAGAGAGAATTCTCCACAGACTGACGTTATGTTGTGAAACTACCGTCCTATCTCCTGGAGGGACCTGAGCCAACAGCCTGAGTGGGAGTTTGGGTGAAAGCTCAGGGCGCAGAGGTGTGGTTGTATTGGCTCCCTAAGAATTAACTACACCTCTGATGGCCAGAATTAGAATGGTCTGAGATTCTTAGCACTGATGCCTTTCCATTAGTGACCTGGAGTGACGCAGCCATGCCTTTTCAGCATAGTATGTTGGGCTAGTTGGGCTGTGTTTTAGTTCCTATCCTTTGTGTAGAGCATCTGAGACATAAGCCAGATGGCTTAAACATTCATTCATTTATTCAGTGAATGCCTGCTATGTGCCAGGCCCAAGCCAATCCTAGTTCCTGGACTCATTTAAATGGCCAGGGTCCACTCCCTGCCCCCAAAGAGCTCCCATTCTACAGGGGTTTGGGAGTGGGCAGAGGATATGTGTCTATGGCACAATGCGATAGATGCTATACTAAAGGAGTTCTGCTTAGCCTGGTCCAGCAAAAGCTTCATCAACCTTTGACCAAGATCTTAGGGGATGAGTAGGAATTTCCTGAGGAGCAAAGCTGAGGTTTGATGGGGCATGGTGTATGTGAGGGATAGTACAAATAGAACCTGTGGCTCAGGGTGTTAAGTGTGGAAATGGAATATGGAGAGATCAGCTGGGGCCATGTTATGAATGCCACAGGCCAAAGGGTGTCATAGTGAGAGTGCTGAGCTCCACCCAGAAGGAGCCTAGCGATGAAAAGAGACCAAGGTAGGAAAGAGGAGGTGAACAAAAGAAATCCTCAGACTGGATAGATCAGTGAGAAGGCACATTATCAGCTTAACCTTAAGGAGAGAATCCCACTGTCCTAATTGGTTGTTTTAAATTTATATTTATTATTTTGTTTATGAATTATAATTGTATATTATTTTAATATGTGTTCCTGCCTGATTCTCCAAAATGAATATGAGGCATTCTGGGAGTTTGGGAGTATTGACAGCCCCGAGCATGAACCTGCCTGCTTTTACGCATGTGTTAAGGCAGGAACTCTTGTTTCCCAGCACCTCGCACAATGGTTGGCACCAGGTGGAGGCTCTGAAAATGTTTGTTGAATGAGGGAATGAATGGGTGAACGGAATACTGAGTGGTCATGACTGGGCTGACTAAGTTTTTCTAGGCTGGGGAACTAATCACTTTCTCTGCTTTTGGAAGGGAATTTTAACTGTTGCCCTCTGCCTGCCTCAGTGACAAGGAGGCTTTTGGAGTTGGGCCATTTCTGAATAGAATTTAGAAACTGTCACAGGGCTCCTGGGTAGATACAGCACTGTGTCTTGGGGGAATCCTCTATAAACATACACTAACTCTTGGGAATAAAAGGAACCCATGAAAGAAATGAGAGCAGGTTTGGTTTTGGAAATTAGATCCAGCTTCAAGAGCAGTCCTTGATAGCCATCTGGCCTAGTGACATGTAATTCCCAAACTGTGGCCAGAAAGGCTGTGGTGCAACTTTTTCTCATGACCCCAAACAGCTCTTCAGATATACCATGAACTGCTATATGATTGTTAATGATCAGTATTGCTTATAGCACACCCACTGGCTGACAGGCACTGTTAGATACTTTACATCAGCTGTTCTCAAAGGGTTTGGTCTTGGGACCCTTTTACATTTCTAAAAATTTTTGAGGGCCCAGAAGGGCTTTGTTGATTAAACTATTGAAATTTACCAAATTAAGTATTAAATTTGAGAAAGTTTAAAAATATTTGGTCACTCATTTCAGAATAACAGTATTAGATTTATCTATCATATTAACATAAATAACAATTTTTAAATTAGAGATAACAATTTTCCCAAAAAGTGAGAAAAATGGTCTTGTTTTCACTTTTGCAAATTTATGTCTATCTTAATGGAAAAAGTTTAGATTCTCTTATATGCTCCTGGGGCTTCCCAGGTAGTGCCCGTGGTAAAGAATCCACTTGCTAATGCAGAAGACACAAGGGACGTGGGTTCAATCCCTGGATGAGGAAGATCCCCTGGAGAAGGAAACAGCAACCCACTCCAGTATTTCTTGCCTGGAAAATTCCATGGCTAGAAAAGCCTGGTGGGCTACAGTCCATGGGATCGCAAAGAGTCGGACACAGCTGAGTATGTACACATACATGTGCTTCTGTATTCAGTCTGTTGGCAGTACATTATTTTGATGGAATTATGTTTTTAAAAAAAAATCAACTTCACACAGATACATAGTTGGAAAAGAGAAAGGTATTTTGATAGCCTTTTCAGATGATTTGTTGGTATTATTCTTTGCAATATGGAATCTGAGAACATACCAATAAAGTCTTTATACTCATTTACGTTAAAATCTGTTGGTTCATCTAACACTTCGGGTGGACTTTATACCAGTGCATGACTCTATGGCATCATGCTTTGATCATTTGGGAAAATAGGTTCACAGAGTTATATAGATCTTCCAGATGTTTTCCTGTTTCATTTTATAATATCAAAAAATAACATTTGTTAATATCACCATCAATTTCATCTTATAGTCTTTTAAGTATTGGGAAGCTGTCAAGCTCATGGTTGTGGATGCAGCTTTTTCAAAATTCTAATTTTCGCCTAAAACTTGAATTTTTATCATTGACCACAAATACAGAATAGTTTTCCTTGGGGGTGATAGGCTTGTTTTGTTCATTTTCTGAGAAAATGTCTGCCAATACCCAAGTTTGAATAACCATAGTTTGTCAGTTAGTCATTCTTTGAAGTAAAAATGCTCCGTGAAAAATTGACTTTCCCCTTCTTTGACTTTATCTCTTTTTTTCCCAGGAAAAACTAGAAAGTCCTAGCATAATGCTCTCAGACAAAAACAGAAAAGTCTTGGGCCTGGTCAGATGAGAGCGCAGGTACTAGTTTTAATGGGTGTGCATGCCAGCCCCCTGGGCTGGGAGTGGCCGCAGTCTAGGGTCTTGGCTCCTTGAGAGCTCTGGGGATGTGCCTGTAGTACAAATACCCTGTGTGAGTAACTCCACACGTCCAGAGATTTGGGGTTTGCCCAGAGAATGAAGCAGAACTATCTTGGAGCTTTTTTAGCAGATCCCAAATCTAGAGAACTGCTAGAACCTTTCCATTCATTCCTCCATCTTTTACCTAAGGCTAAACTGGAATCTGGAGAGGCTCTGAATTTAACCTGAGGTAAGAAGGAATAATTAGCTGCTGCCCAGGGTCGCTGGGTTGAAGTATCAGTTCCAACAGCCTTTCTGATGAAGAAATATGGTTGGAATTTTACTGATCATGTTCTTCATGTGAGATTACTGTAAAATTGTGCTAGCTGCTAAAAAGTACAGCTTGAGAGCAGCTAGTTGAAAGCCTGAATTGACTACAGGGCATACAAGGTCACGATTTCCAGTAATTTGGAAAGTGGCAGAAGATTACAGTTAAAGGGAACTATAAACCAGGAGCTTTTCTGCCAAAGCAAAAATTTGATAGTATTAACTGTATATAATATCTCCAGGGCTTGGGATTCTCAACTCCCTCTGGCAATTAAAGTAGAGATGAAAATGTCAGAGAGAACAGTCCACAGGCTCCACTGGGAATTTTACCCAGAGGTAGGCACCAAGACTTAGAGTTAAGACAACTTTGAGGATGGCCCCCTAAAACTTCCTGGGCCTAGAAATAAAGAATCTAATATACCAAACTCAAGACAGCTAGTTTCCAGTGTAGATTTACTAAGAACAGACCAAAAAAATAAAGACCAGCCCAGGAGCCTAGATAATAGATTGAGCACCTCCTGTATGGATCCTTTGAGCTAAGTGCTTTGCATCTCTAATGTCACTTAATCCTCTGGGCAACCTTATGCAATATAGGTGGTATCATCCCTGCTTCAGTTTGTACTTAATTAGCTTCCCAGGCCTTGTGTTTCTTCCTTTAACTAGAAAGACAGCCTGCCCTGTAAATTCACTTCCTTTGATGGCTAATCTTATTTATCATGTGTACCATTTCAGCTCTAGGGAAAGCCACATTATTTCCATTAATAAGCAGTCTCATAATCCCTGAGGAATACAGTCTTCCAACAATCTTCCACTGTTCCACACTTGCTATTGGAACCATTTGGTTGGAGGTCCAGGGTGGGAAGACGGCCTCTTTCTATGGGAAACAACAGTTTCAAGCAATGTCTCACCAAACTGCCTGCCAGCTGTATTGCCATGGGGATACTTAACAAATCTGACTTAGCCACCATGTGCCCAGCTGAGCCCATGCCCTGTGCTGTACTGTGAGGGATCCAGACAAGAATCAGACCTGGTACTTGCCCTCTAGGAGCACAACCTAGTAGAAGGGACAGAAGATACAGGTAAATAAGTTAAGTAGAAGGCACAAGTCTTGTCACCAAAGCCCAATGTGCTGTGGGGGTATGGAAATGGGAAAGAGAGGTGAATTGTAAGAGGGAATCTCTAGAAAAGCTTCGGTGAGATTGGATCTAGGCTGGGCTTTATTTAAGCCCTGCTCATCTACCTATTGGTAAAGGTGGGGAGGAAGAGGGGTTTAGGCAGAGGATCCCCTTTAGCACAGGTGTGACTTAGGAGAGCACAAGGAGTATTTGGGGAACTTAAAGAGTTCCTTAGTGGAGTGAAGACAGGGATTCAGACGCCTGAATGTCACCTTCACTTCATTACATATGAGAGACTCGCATTCTCATAAAACACAGTGACTGTATATTCTATGTTTTCAACCCTAGTCCTGATTTTAAATATTTTTTCCTATTGCTCCCATCATGTTCATAATTAGTGCCATATGTTTAGTAGCATATATGCCTGGCACTGGACTAGGTGCTTTATCACAATGCTCACAGCCAACTCTACAAGTCAGAACTTAATCCCATTTTATAGATGGGGAGGCACAGAATAAGTAGAACTTGCCCAACATTATACAGTTGGTAAGTGATGGAGGCCCAGGATTAATGCCAAAGCCAGGATTGTTTCTTCTACACCCCAGCACCTCCCACAAGTACTTTAGCATCAAGTACAGTCTCACAGGTCATATATTTACTTTATAAGAATTGTTTCACTTTTAAAAGAAAACAGCAAATAACACCACACATTGTCATTTACATTGTACATTTGCGTTCTTGGTTGTTCCTATGAAACCATATATACTGTACTTTACAGGCCACATTAAAAATTTCAAGAATTATTTTACTCACCCAAGATTTTTGTCTTCTGTAATAACTCTGGAACCTAACACTGGAAAATGAAGCTCCCTTGTAGTAAAATTGCACATCCTGGTGTTTGCCTAAAAAATACAGTCGCTTTACTCTTTCTCACAAGGAAAAGGACTTGGGCATTGGTCTCACCTCCTCCTCCTGGAGTTATTAATACTATGGCATCTTGTAGCTATGAAAAGTTTCCTGGGTGCATGTCTCCTTTACCTCAACTTCTCTATCAGCCTTTCACCCTTACCATGAGATATTCACCACAAATGGGTTCTAGAATGTAATTTTCTTTTGTAGCTGCCACTAAGCAGCTGACCTGCTCACTGAACTGTCCTCTTGGCACAGACTTTAGGCAGCATCTCACATGAGTTCCATATGTAAGATTTCTCTCTTTCTCTCTGATATTCTTTCCCAAGGTCCTTGTAATTCCCCACATGTCTCAGTATGCTACTGGCGGTACTAGTGGTAACGAATCTCCCTGCCAGTGCAGGAGATGCAGGAGACCCAAGAGACGTGGTTCAATCCCTGAGTCAGGAAGATCTAGAGGAGGAAATGGCAACCCACTCCAGTATTCTTGCCTGGAAAATTCCATGGACAGAGGAGCCTGGTGGGCTGCAGTCCATGGGGTCGCACAGAGTCAGACACAACTGAGCGGCTGAGCACACATGCACAGGCTCAAACACGCATGCTTCTGGTGCTGTGTTTTCTTTCTTTTTCTGGAAACCGGGGACCCAGGTCAGTGTAATTGTAACATTACAAATGTAAGGATACCCTGATGCCAACTTATTGTGAGAAGGTGATATTATTTGAAAAAGATGACCCATTTATTTTATTGGTAGGATGAAAGTGATACTTGTATTATTCCTTTGCTTAGGTCTCTGCAAATATGTCTTGCCTAGTGGTGGGTAAGTTTGGAAGATATATCAGTTAACTATTATGTGCTAGAAACCACCCCAAAACTTAGTGGCTTAAAACAATACCATTTATTTGTCATGAGTCTCTCGGTTGACTGGGTGTTTCTGCTGATTGGGGCCTACTTGGCTGATCTCAGGAATCCTCACGTATCTGATCTACTGGCCAGTCAGCTGGGAAGACTCAGTTTTCCCCACAGGTCTCTCATATCCCTCCAGCAGCTAGCCTGGTCATGCTTATGTGGCATGGCAGAGGTGCAGGAGCGAGCAAGTCCAGCCATGCAAGGGAGCAAGTAGAAATGCATACACACTTTTCAAGCTCATGCTGGCAGCATGTTTGCTGACATTCCGTTGGCCAAAGAAAGTGACCTGACTGTCAGAGTGAGAACGGACTGCAGTGCAAAGTTGCAGGATATAGGAAAGCCATTGATGAGGTCATTAGACACAGTCAGTCTCTCAAGTCACTACCCCTCAGTGTGACAGAAAACCTATAGACTTATATTTCTAGGTCAGGTTTGTCCTGGAAGGAAAAGGAGAAAAACAGTAGCAATGATGGCTGTGTGCTGGGACTGTACTATGGACATGCACAGGGCTAGGCACTTGCCTTGTTTGTGCACCCCTCATAACCACTCTGCGCAGCAGGTAGGAAAGCAGAAGCTTAATAACTTGCCCAAGGTCACCCAGCTCATGTGTGGTCAAGCAGGGATTAGAACTCATGTCAGTCTGACACCTGAAACCCAGTGGTTTTTCACCACACCTCCCTGCCTCTCAGAAGCCCCTGGGTCTGCCTTACCCTCTAGCTGGGTTTTCAGCTGAGTTGATACTCTGACTAGCTCCTCCAGAGTGCTCCTGTGATCCTAATGGAATTGTGCAGCTCTTTGGGAAACCCACATGGTCTCCCAAACTGCGTTAACTGAAAGCATTTTTTTTCCTTTCAGGTGAGGATTGGTCTGTAGACTTCACAGACAGCCCAAGAATTGTGACCTCTCCCAGACATGCCACAGCAGGAAGGGCCGACTCATTAACCTTCAAGATCTGGAGACGTTGGGGCACTAGGGCATTTGAGCATGAGCTTTGGAGTCAGCCTCACTGGGGTTCAAATCCTGTAGGGTTCAACCACTCACTAACTCTGTAACCTTGGGCAACTTATTTGACTTCTTGAAATGTTTCTTCTTTAAAAAAAAAAGATGAGAATAATAACACATTTTGCAGAGCTGTTTACAAGGACTAAAATTGGGTAAATAAAGTGCCTAACCCAGTGCCTGGCACATAATAAGTGATGTCATCAGTATTGTTAATATTGTTTCTAAGCAGAGCCTTTCCCCTTCTGGGAAACCCTGTTTCTGTCTGTTGGACAGGTTCCCCCTACCACCAGCCAGTCTGTGCAGACTTGCTGCCTGCTGTGTCACCGGGAACGCAAAGGCTGGGAAGAAGGCCCTTCCCAGAACGGACTGGTGTTGCAGGGTGAGAAGCTGCCCCCTGACTTCATGCCAAAGCTCGTCAAGAATCTCCTAGGCGAGATGCCTCTGTGGGTCTGCCAGAGTTGCCGAAAGAGCATGGAGGAAGATGAAAGGCAGACAGGTCGAGAACATGCAGTGGCGGTAGGTAACCGCTGAGAAGGGGTCCCCGAATGCAGGAGCGCTGCCTGCCCAGAGAAGTCAGGCTGTTGAGCTGTGGCTGCCTTGTGCTCAAGTGGCTGTCCTCAGGTAGCACCTCCGCCCAGGTGCCAAAGAGGCTGCACCTATGCAGCATTAGCAGCTTGTGGCCCACATTTGGGGGAAGAAAAGAGAGGTTTCAGGCAGTCCACCAGCCCCCAAGGACAGTGCATCGTGTGATGGCCGGCTTGGAGGCACTGGTAGATCGAGATCCTGACCCTCCTTGTGACTGTGCTGCCTTCAGCTCTGTGGCAGCTCAAAAACCAACCAGTATGACATGGAAGGTAAAGGTCAGTTTGAGGGTCTGCAATGCCTCTGTTAGAAGGCTTCCAAGATGCCCGGGAGCCATCTAACTGCCATCTCCTGAATCACAGAGGTCAGATTCCTCATTTCTCATTCCCCTTAGTCCCTCTCTGTATCCCAGAATCAGTTCAGCTTCGGGACTCCTGACTTAAGACCTTTTTCCTCTCCTTGGCAGCTCTCAGGACTCCCCAAAGGCCACAGTTGACAGGCAGTCTCTGCCACCACCAGAATCTCTCATCACATCCACATATTTCACTTCATGGGGAGCATCACAGCCCCTCCTGGCAAAGGCCTGGCCCATGTTTGCCCTTGCACCTGGAGTTGTGGGAACTGTGCCACGGCATGGGGACCTGGAGGAGGAGGTGCCCCTGGGGAAGCCAAGGCAGCAGCGGGTCAGCCCTGATGTTTACTGTTTTACCATGAGCCTTTTTCTCCCTCAGATCTCCTTGTCACACACATCCTGCAAATCACAGTCTTGTGGGGGTGATTCTCATTCCTCTTCGTCCTCCTCTTCGTCGTCCTCTTCCTCGTCCTCCTCCTGCCATGGGAACTCAGGGGACTGGGATCCTAGTTCGTTCCTGTCAGCACATAAGCTCTCGGGCCTCTGGAACTCCCCGCACTCCAGCGGGGCCCTGCCAGGTGGCTCACTCGGGAGCCCTCCTACAATCCCTGGTGAGTCTCCAAGCTCAGAAGAGAGCTCTCTCCATAAATGGAGAGTTGTGTTTTCCTAACCATTTTGTTCAAACAAATCAGATCGGTTATTAAATAAAAGTGGAGCTGTCCTGGTGGAAGCCAAGTAGGGAATCTAGCCCTTGACTATCTTGGTAGAAATCTTTTCCCCAAAACTCTGAACTTGAAAAATATTGCTGGCATTGGCTCTGATAACTGTTCCCATTGGATCCAAGAGGGGACCTGGTAAGCATTGGCTGAAGAGAAAGTAAAGTCTGCAAGGGCCTTGAAGGAATTCGGACTGAGATCACCTGACTGCTGTAGCAGCACAGAGGGCCTGGGTGTCTCCTTCTCTATCCAAAGGATGGGTGCTTTTATAAAAGCACTGCCCTTCCATCTGCACGAGATTGGCAGTGTGAGCTGCATTGATTATTAGCCAGTTATGCAGCTGTGTAAGCCTTTTTTAGACTCTGAGATAATGCTTAGCAACCCAAAGAAAACATCTTGAGTTATTGCTGTACTTTGTAAATATGAATTATTGTCTACTTTTAAATGGAGGACCCAAGTTCTTCAAAGGGGCGCTACCCCCAGAATTGTGAGTGGAGCGATACATAATTCCAGTTACTTTGGTGCATGAATCAGAGAGAGTCATCAAAGTGCTTTCCCACTTGTCCTCTGAAATTTGGGGCCACCCGAAATTCTGGCATATCCTGGCTACCGTGATGCACGTGGCCCAGAAGCGGAGCCTTGTCAGACAGGTTCTACAAAAGCACTCAGAGATAGAACATACAACCCCTGTTTATGCCCAGCAGAGGTTTTATGACCTTGCATGGGGCTGGCCTTCCTGGTGCCTTCTCCCTCAGGCCTGGCCATCTTCAGCCTGTCCAGCTGCTGCCTGCAGAGAAATCTCTCCAGCCCAAGGTACCACTAGGTTTTTCCAAAAGCTCATGGGTCCACCATGCTGAGAGACTGTGCCCAGGCATGTTGCCTCTGGTCACAGTAAGCAGGCTGCTGCAGCAGTGAGCCCTTAGGCCTCCTTCCCAGGATCTGGGCTCCCACTCTGACACCTCTCTCCCCCATCCGCCCACAGGTGAGGTTTTCCCCATCTCGGAGCACCACCGGCACTCAGACCTCACTGCTCCACCTAACAGCCCCACCGGCCACCACCCCCAGCCAGCGCCGCTGATCCCATCTCACCCCGGATCCTTTGGCTCACCACCCCACCCGCACCTGCTGCCCACCACCCCAGCAGTGCATTTCCCTGCCCAGGTTTCAGAATGCCCTGTTGCCGTGGCTGCTGCCCCCCACACCCCAGGGCCATGTCAGAGCCCCCACCTTCCCTCCACCAGCATGCCGCTCCTGAAGATGCCTCCTCCATTCTCGGGTTGCAGCCACCCCTGTAGTGGTCACTGCAGCGGGCACTGCAGCGGGCCCCTCCTCCCACCACCCAGCTCTCAGCAGCTCCCTAGCACGCACAGGTGAGTGGCACAAAGAGCAAACTCCCTGACAACTTGAACTTAAGAGTTTGGGGAAAACTTTGGGGTGAAAATTAAAGGGTATACTCTGTTTATGTTTTTTCTATAGTTTTTCTAGATATGAAAGAAATATGTTTGTTTTTTTAAAAACTTGGGAAAATTTATAAATATATAAAAATTTTAAATACATAAAAAAGAAAAAAATTCCTGGCAACCTAAAAATAAACTTTAGCACAACAGCATATTTTCTTTTTTTGATGTTTCTCTATATCCATAACAAAATGAGGTCCACATTCTGTATTATTTTCGTGTGGCTACTTTTTAACATACCATCATCATTTCCCTAGTTAAAATTCTTCAAAAACTTTGTCAGTGGCCACATGTTTTATTATACAGCTGTGGCATAATTTATTTTATCATTACCTATTCCTGGATATTCAGGCATGTGTAGATTTTTTTGTAGACTGTAATAAGCATCCTTGCACCTAAATGTCAGGAGTTCTGTCCTTAAAGTAGATTCCTAGAATTAACTCTTAAGTACTGAGAAAGTTTGTTTTAATATATATTTGAAAGATACAGTTTTTTGGAGAAGATCTGTCTTTTTATAAATCAGTTGTGTGTTGATGATGTGTTTCTATTTGCCCACCTAAAAATCCCACCACCCTGATACAGCACTCCTAGCAGTTTTCTCTTGAGTAGCTTTCCCGTGTGGTAGTGGTGGTGTCCTTGTGGTTTTTCGTCGTCCAGTGTCACTTAGCGCTGTTAGGTTCCCACATGGCTTCTGAACCTCAGCTTTAAAGGCTGGGAAATTCTTTGCTCTTCTCCAGTTGCTGAACATTTAGGTCATCCCAACATTTTAACATTATAAATAATGTCTCTTAACGATGTCTTTGCCTAAAGCTTTTCACTCTTGGATTTTTCTCCTTGGAATAGATCTCTCAGGGTGAAAAAAGTTCTCAATTTAAAAGATATGAGGGATTTTTTGCTTTTATCTTATTGAGAAGGGCTCTTAATACATATTGATAAATTGCTTTCCAAAGGGGTCTCCAAATTGATGTAACCACCAGTATTAAAGCACTAGGAATTTTTAACTGTGCTAATATAGTAGATGAATAATGGTCAGTTGGGGTTAAGCTTCTCTAAGCACCTTTTTATTTTGCACCACCCAATATGCAGGATCTTAGTTCCCAACCTGGGATTGAATCCGTGTCCCCTGTAGTGGAAGTGTGAAGTCTTAACCACTGGGCCACCAGGAAAAGTCCTGTAAGCACTTTGATAATGATTCCTGCCCCAGGGAACCTCCTTGGCTGCTCCTTGCCCCGCCCTTCCTCCTGGCTCCCTCTGGCTTCAGCCCTGGAGTACTCCCACTGCTGATGGCCAACCTAGGACTCTGACTCTTCTAGTGTGAATTCTGGGACCTTTCAGACCTGTCTCTTCCTTACCCTGGGAAATTAGTCCATATTACAGGATGCTTCCTGAAATCCAGAGGCAGAGCAGTGCAGTGGGAGGGTGAGTCCTAGCTGCTCCTTGGGCAAAACAGTGAAGCACCCTGAGCCTCAGTCTCTTCTGTTGCAGCGTGGGGATGGCAAAACATGTTTTGCAGGATTTGGGGGGTTGTTAGAAATAATTTGCTGTATACAATACCTGGCACAAACAAGTAGCTCAAAATATGGCCCACAAGGCACATTTGCTTTCCTAACCTCAAGGCACCATGGCTAAGGCAGCTCTGTGCAGTGGTGCGATCTCAATCAGAAGGACCTTTGAGCATGATCCACTGTCACTTCCACTGTCAGGGGCCCGGATTCAATCCCTGGTCAGGAAACTAAGATCCCAGAAGCCACACGGTATGGCCAAAAACAAAACCATAGTGTCAGGGTGAGGGGAACCGTAGAGAATGAAAGGACATCGACCTCCTTTAGATGTTCCAAGGAACCATCAGCCCACTAATCTGTTCAGACACCTACTTCCTGAGCACTTACTGTGTATAGGCTTGTGATGGTACACACTGGGACCCACAAATAGAAGTGGCATAGTCCATATCTTCAGGGAATGCACACTCTGGTCTAGAAGACAGATGGTAAACAGACTGTCACTGTAGTGTGTGATAGAGGAATACTTGGTGTCCTCAGAGTCCAGAAGGCTCACATGGTAGACATGGGGAAGGGAGGCATGGGGAACTTTCCAGAACAGTGCCATTGAGGGGGCCCCTGAGGAACAGCGAGGTTTGCCTTGTTCTTACAAGGGGCTCATTCTGTCTGTCTGCCTTGGTCTTTGTGGGATGAGGCAGATGAAGACGATGGTGCGACTGCTCCCCAGGCTCCTCACAGCGTGCTCCTACCCTGCCTTTCCTCACCTTTGGGCCTGTCTTTTCTCCCAATTCAGCAGGGACCCTGGGTGCAAGGGGCACAAGTTTACCCACAGTGGCCTGACGTGCCAGCTTCCCCAGCCATGCGAGGCAGACGAGGGGCTGGGCGAGGAAGAGGACAGCAGCTCAGAGCGTAGCTCCTGCACCTCATCCTCCACCCACCAGCGAGATGGGAAGTTCTGTGACTGCTGCTACTGTGAGTTCTTCGGCCACAATGCGGTGAGTGAGCCTTCCCAGGCCAGAGCAGGCTGGGGGCCAGCCGAGGGGAGCCAGGGGAACACCTTGCTCTTCCCAGGGGCCCCCTTGCTCATGGAGCTAATAATTGTGCTTGGACCCTGTGAGTCCTCACCAGCGTCTGCTTGCTAGATCCTCACGGCATATGGGTGAGGTAGAGATATTTCAACAATTTGCTACCTTTGCTCTTCTCATGGTTTCTCTTAAGATTGACTTTTTTTCCTTAGGCAAAAAGAAAGGAAGTGGCAGAGGAAAGCTATGATTCTGATGAGTATGTATACGTAATGTGCGTAATCACAGAGAAGTGAAGGCTTGTGCGTGATGAAGGCAGTGGAAGCCAAGGCTCTCAGTCCCCAGTGTGGGAGCCAGCCAAGGGACAGGCCGTGAGCACAGATGGCACCAGGAAGGAGGCTCAGAGCAGAGTACATGCTGTCTCTGGACAGGGGGAGAAAGCAGTTCAGAAGTCTCATAAGGTGAAGAGGAAAGGGCTTCTGGCTAGGGGAGAGCAGTTGAGGACAGAAGAAATTCAAACAGTTATGTTGCTGGTCACCTTTGAGCTAGAAGTTGTTATCCTCATTTTAGAGATGACAAAATCGAGGCTCACAAAGACTCAGTGAACCTGCCCAAGGTCATACAGCTTCCGAGTGACGAAGCCTGGGCTCAGACCTGCGCTCCTGGCTCCCAAGTCAGCGTGCTCGCAGCACTGCTGCATACCTCCCACTCCTCCGCCCCCCGCTGCCTTGGCTCCGAGCCTGGCTGAGGGTGAAGCCATTTGGCCTCTGTGGCTGTGGTAGAAAGAACAGTTGTCTTGCTTCTCACCACATGCTTGGTGCCCGCGGGTGGGAGCGCTCCGGGCTTCCCAGGCCCAGGGTGTAACGTCAGCACCTCCCCTCCCCCAGCCACCCGCTGCCCCGACGAGTCGGAATTATACCGAGATCCGAGAGAAGCTTCGCTCAAGGCTGACCAGGCGCAAAGAGGAGCTGCCCATGAAGGGGGGCGCCCTGGGCGGGATCCCTGGGGAGCCCGCCGTGGACCATCGAGATGTGGATGAGCTGCTGGAATTCATCAACAGCACGGAGCCCAAAGTCCCCAACAGCGCCAGGGCTGCCAAGCGGGCCCGGCACAAGCTGAAAAAGAAGGTGGGTGTGGGGGGAGACCAGCTCTACCACCTCTTTTCCCCCGAGGAATCCCTCACCCCCAACTCCTAGGACTTCTCGGGCATGAGTAGTACTGGCTGCCAAAGGCCTTGGCAGGGCTGTCTTCTCTGAGAAGGTCTGAATGAGTTTGGGAGGCATCGGGGTAAGGGAGCCAGGGTACCAGTGATTGGAGGAAAAACAAGTCCTGGCGTCAGAAGCCGCTTGCTGGATTCCTCAAATCTTAGGACTTGCGTCAGTCAGTCAGTCATATGTTCATTCAGCAAACACTTCTGCAAATACTTGGAGCCAAATATGATGCAGTTAGGTTCTTACCCTAGAAAAGCTTGGTCCAGTGGAGAAACAACACTGGACAGGCACATTAGTGTGCAACAAGTGCTGGGGTGAGGGAAGCCCCCATCCTGCCTGAGGCACTGGAAATGGCTGGACCACCAGGCTGCCTGAGGAACCGAGTTGTAGAGAGTGAGTACAGATTCATCAGGAGGACCCTCCTGGCAACAGGCATAGCACATCCACAGCAGTTTTTGAAGCCAGAGCTCACACCCAGGAGAAGGCAGACAAATAGAGGTGAGGGAATGGTACTGCTGAAGAGCTCTGACTTGATCCTACAGCTGAGGGGGGTTCACCCAAGGGCTTTAATCACACAATGCACTCACCAGATGTGCTTCCCAAGATGACTGTGTAGCAATATGGACGGTAGCCTGAAGGAGTGATACTCCGGGCCAGAGAACCAAGAGCCAGGGGAGAGGTGATCGATAATGGGCCTGGAGCAGTTTTCAGAGGAGGCAGGTGATCTCTTGATTACAGGACAAGGAGATGATAGAGTCAGGGATACCTCCTAGGTGTTTGCCAGAGTGGCTGGCAGGATGGCATACCTTACTGGGCACAGGTGGAATTGGCAGAAGACAGGGAATTCAGTTGGGGCACAGTGACTCGGAGATTCTCATGAGAGGTCCGAGTGGAGATGGCAATGTGGGGCTGGGAGTTGCTGGCATGGAGATGTAATTGAAGCCATGGGAATGACCCATCCTGAGGACTGAGTGAACTCCTCCCAGAAGGCTGAGGACAGAACCAGGGGAACTGTTCCCGGCAGCCCTGCCACCAGGCAAGCAGCAGAGCTTGATGGCTCGTCCCCTGCCACCTCATTACCTCTTAGCCTGCCTGCCCCCAACTGTGTCTGCACAGTTCCACACCCGGGAGCTCAGCAGCTGAAGAGAATGGGTTTGACAGCCAGCTAGCTCCAGGTCCTGGGTGGTCAAACAGCCCTAATGCTCTGGAAAACAGCAGTGCTTCTCCTTTTTCCAGCCCAAAGGATAAATCAGGACCCCTTCCCTGCACCCTGAAGTAGTAAACCAAAGGGTCTCACCACTGCCTTCAGAAAATGGTCGGCATTTGCTGTCTCCCTGCCAGCATTGCCTGGCCAGAAGTATGCAGTGGGCAGAAGTGGTCTCTCTGGCCTTTCCTGGCCTCCCAAGGCTGTGGTTCCCAGTTAGGTCCCAGGGAACACACTCACAGTTCCCAGGCCTGGTATGTTTTTCATAAATTTCTGCCTGGATATCCTTTCTCCTCAACCTCTGCCCCCTCGTTTTCCTTCTAAAAACCTCCTCCCGAGGCCAGTTCAGATGTTTCCTCCTTCGCAGTCTTCCTCGGGTGACATCCACTGTGCTGTGGCTGCATCTCACACATCTCTCTAGTCTGCCATTTATCATTCTCTATTCGCAGTTCAGAAACTGCCTGCACACTCCCATCTGCCCCACCCATTACAGAGGCCAGGATACAACACAGAGTAGGCAGTTCTGATGTCCTGTAACTAGCGATCATGGTCATTATCTGTTTATACATCAGCCTCCTCCACAGTACCCTTCCATCACCTCCCAGATTTAACTACAATCCACCAAAAACACAGCTTCCACCACGAAAGCCATCTACCTACTACCCACCCGGGGAGACAGATAAAGCTGGGTATTTTTCTGTTCCCTCATACCATTTCCAGACCCTGACTCTTTAATGTCCTAACCCTTGCTCCTTTGAAACCAACCCTGGGTCTGTCATCTGTAACCTCCACCACTGTTCCTCTTCATCCACTGAAGACTGTCACCTGTCTTCCTTCTTTTCTCAGTCCAGTTGAGATCCCTTGAGTATCATTCATTCACTCTCCTACCAATCCTCTCAGTTCCTCATTGTCCTTCCATTATACCCACTTGGAAAAACCACAGTCCTGGCTTCAGCCCGAGCCTGCCTCTCTCCTACACCTTGAGGAAGGTGCTAGATTGAATCTGTCTTTGGCACCCTGGCCAAGTGGTCTCCCACCTGCCTGAGCCCCCACTTTGCTGTTCTCTAGTCTTCTGACTCCTCATCATTTCCATTCACCCCAGCCCCTTTGTTAGACCTCCATTCTGCTCCAGCTGCCAGACTCTCCCCACTCCCACCTTACTTTTTGGCAGATAACTCACTTCCTGTTTCAACAAGGATTAAAAACCAGTGGAGAGGCACTGTCCTGCAGAGTTCTTGCATGAAGGAGGAGTTAGTCCTTTTCCTACCTAAAGCGTGTGCTGTCCTTCCTGCCTCCTCAGTCTAATACCACTTCCTGCTGTGTGGCTCCAGCCTCTCACTGCCCAGTACTCTGTTTTTTGAAAGCAAACTGTCATTTGAGCGTACAGCCTCTCTTAACCACCCCGGTCTCGTTCCTGACCACACAAAAATGTCATCTGCATTTACTCCTGTCAGCTCACTGCAGATTGTCTTCTACCTCCACTCTTGCATAGAGCCACTAGTGACTTCTTTGTTGCCAAATCATTTTCTCCTGTTCCATCTTCTTTTCCGCTAGGCAGCATCTCACCCTTTGTTCTCTTTTTCAAACACTGTTTTCTTTGGCCCCTCCAACCTCATTCAAGTGGGGGCAGGGAAGGGGAAAGGGGAGGCCACATTGTCTACATTTCTCACTTCCTCTCTGCCCTCTGTCCTGTCTCCTTTGTGAGCACCTCTTCCTCTGCCTGGCCCTCCCCCTTTAAGACAGCTGCCTGGGAGAGAGCCATCTAGATAGTGTTTCCTCCCAGGTCATTATGTCTCCCTGTTTACCCCTGCGCTTCACAGTAACATATCCTACCACTGATGGGTACCTCCTCACAGACATTCTACAGGTACCCAAACTCAGCGTATCCCAAACTGAGCTTGTCACCTTTCTCCAAAAGAGCCCACTCTTGCCTCTCCGTTGTCTGACTAGTTAATAGCACCACCATTCACCCAGTTGTCTCAACCAGAACCCCAGATGCCATCTGGGGAGGACTGCATCATGGTGATGGAGAGCAGCAGGCCTTGCAATTGGACCAGTTTGAAACCCGGCTCTGCTGTACTTGCTGTATGACCTTGGGCAAATCACTTAACCTCTAAGCCTCAGTTTCTTCCTCCATAAAATGAGAATAACGGTAGAACCTAATTCACGGCTTTTGCAAGAATGAAATGGAGTGATGCACAGAAAGGTTGGGCAGAGTGAGCAGAGTAGTTGCTGCAGAAACAGTAGTGATGATTGATGATGTTTTCACGACTCATCTTGTTCTCTCTCCCACCCGTCACCGAACAGTCCTGGCCATGTGACACCCTCCAGTAGCTCACACCATCCACTTCTTTCTACCCTACTGGCACTGTTTAAAAAGCCTTCAGTGACTGAACATTGCCTATAGGCGCAAATCTAGGATCAAATATGGCCTGTGGGGCTCTTGAGGATCTAGCCCCTGCTTAGGTTGCCAACTTCATCTCTCAATCTGCCCCTTTGGCTTTCCTGCCCACTCTACTCCACCCAAAAGAGATCTGTGCTCCAGCTGTCCTTCTAAGTATTTGCATTCCCTAAATATTCTGCATTTTCCCATTTCCCAGCCTTTCTTCTACTTTTTGTCTAGAATATGTTTGTCTCACACTTCCCAGGATAATCCCACTTACCCTTCAGTGCTCAGTGAGATACTGCCTCCTCTGGGAAGCACCTCCTGATGGCCCAGTCTGGGTCCCCAGAGCACCCCGTGCTTTTTCCCCTGTTGCTTTTCACACTGTCACTCAGAATTAAACAGCCTGTTTGCACATCCATCTCCCTCAGCAGACTCAAGTCAATGAACAGAGACTGTTTATGCACAGCTGAGTTCCCAGAGCCCAGCCCAGTGCCTCATATAAGAGTCACAGGTCAAGAAATGATTGTCAAATGATACTTAAAAACATGAAGATCACCCCTGGGTATGCTGTCCTGACTCACCACTTAACTAGCATGTAATCTTGGGTCAGTTCCTTAACTCTTTCCAAAGTCAAGTTTCCTCATCTATAAACTGAGGATAATGACACAGCAAGGGCAGTTGTGGGGATTAAATGAGGCAACGTGGGAAGGTACCAGGCTTATGGTACCTAGCAAAAATGTGCGGCTCCATGCTTTTTCCTTCTCTCATTACAAAATTATACATGATTCCACATTCCCTCTACACCAGTCGTTTCGCACTTGTATAGCAGCAGAAGTCCCTTCTGCAATTGAAACTGTCCTCAGGCCCTCAATTCCTAACAAATGAAAGAGCTGTTCTGACACAGAGGAAGAGCAGAGTGAAGGGCCTTCTGGTTCTTTGTCCATCACCATGGCCTCAGCTCTGCCTGTAGCCTTGAACTCCACGGCTTACAGCTGCTCCAGACCTGGGTTCCTTTCTCACCTGAGCATCACTGTGCCAGGGCACAGCCTGATTATTGCCCAGGGAAAGGGACACACACCCACTGAGGTGTCCTCATGGTGACCTGTGACATATATAGGTTGGTTGTTTTTCTCCCAAATTTATAAATGGAGATTGTAAGGTTCAGGGAGAATAAGTGATTTGTCCAAGGTCCCACAGTTGTGGTCCTAGTCAGCTATAGAACCAGCCTGTTAAAAAGATGAGAGAATAAATGTATGCCCCGTGGGGCAGAGGGTCACCCTCTTAAGTTGACATTGTGGTGGCAAGCCCTCTTCTCACATAACTTTTCCTGTTCCTCCCCCTCCATTCCCAAATCAGCTGTAAATAGGTGAGATAGTGAAGTCATCTGGCCCCTAGCACATCACTACCACCTCATTCCCATTGGCTTTTGAAAACTCTCCTGTCTCCCTCTAAAGGCCTCCTCAACCTGCTGGTGCCTTGAGGCTGGGGCAGAGCTGGTGCCAGAGGCTAGGGGTGGGGTGACTCAGAGCCCACAGACTTGCTTTCACTCTCCCGATCTGACTGTCAGTGGTGGGTGGCAGAGTCCAGCCTCCCTCAGCCTCCTGGTCCTCACCTGGGCAAAGGGGCTGCTTTTACCTCTTGCTGTGGGACCTGTTGTCTGCCACTGGGCATGCTTTAGGTGTGCCTTTGGTTCCTTGAGGACTAAGCAGTGAGTAGCCTTCCTATGGGAACTTGACCCTCTCCAATAGCACCCATAGGCAGCCTCAGGAGGGTACACACATTTCCCAGCCACCCAGAACAGTCTGATCTACCATGGTATCTCACAGCCCCACATCTTCCTTCTTGGAAGACCTACATGCTGTCATGGCTTTTTTTCTCCTGCCACCTGCAGAATTGAAGAGAATGCCTCCATAATAGTAATCTTCCTTACACATATCCCCACTTTGGTCTTCACTCCAGAATTACTGTCCCCATTTTGCAGATGAGTCCACTGCGACTCAGCAAGTGAGTGAATTGCTTAAGCTTATGACTGGGAGGGAGATCTATAACCCTTTTAGGCCCTAGGACTGATTCTAGGGCCCTGGACGAACAAGATGTAAAAACCCTACCCTCTGTTGGTGTAAATGCCTCCATCCCCACACATGTACCTGTTGGATTGCATTTCATCCTTGTTACTGTAGGGTGAGCAGGCCAGGATTGCCAGGCCCTGCTTCTAGCCAGTTAGTGGCAAAGCTGGGCTGGAAGCAGACGTGTCGGGTGTCACACTGTGCCTGGCAGCTGCCAAGCCCCTGCTGAAACTGCCTCTTGTCTTGGCAGGAAAAGGAGAAGGCCCAGTTGGCAGCGGAAGCTCTGAAGCAAGCAAATCGTAGTGTTTCTGGAAGCCGGGAGCTGAGGCCTGCCAGGGAGAGTCTTTTGGGGTGGCCCGATCGGGAGCTGGATCGGGTCAACAGCTTTCTGAACAGCCGTCTACAGGAGATCAAGAACACTGTCAAGGACTCCATCTGTGCCAGCTTCAGTATGTGTGAGCTCAGCGTGGACAGCAATGGCTTCTCTAAGGAAGGGGCCACTGAGCCAAAACCTCAGAGTCTAGCCCCCTCAAACCCCAGTGGCTCCTCAGAACAAAGGTCTGACATTAACCTTGACCTGTCCCCTTTGACTTTGGGCTCCCCTCAGAACCATATGTTGCAAGCTCCAGGAGAGCCAGCCCCACCATGGGCAGAAATGAGAAGTCCCCACCCACCATGGACAGAAGTGAAGGGCCCCCCTCCTGGTATCCCTGAGAATGGGCTAGTGAGGAGGCTCAACACCGTGCCCAACCTGTCCCGGATGATCTGGGTCAAGACACCCAAGCCAGGTAACCCTGGCTCTGAGGAGCCAAGCATAAAGGAGGCCCCTGGTTGCAAGCAGGAGCTGTCTGAGCCTGTGGCCTCAGGTGGGAAGCCACGGAAGGGCAGGAGACAGGGTAGTCAGGCCAAGAAGAACGAGGTGAGCCCAGCTTCCCAGCCCCCAGCCTGCCTTGAGACTCCCAGTGCCAAGGGCCAGGCCCCTAGCCCCAAGCAGCCAAGCAAGGCCCCAGAGCCTCCCAGAGTGGACAGCGGTGCTGAAGCTGGAGAAGGGAGTCAGGGGACCCGACCAGGACCAGGCTGGGCTGACAGCCCCAAAGCTGACAAGGAGAAGGGCAGCTCCTGGCGAAACCTGCCAGGTGAAGCCAAGGCACGGCCTCTGGAGCAGGAGTCTGGACACCCCCCAGGCCCAGCAAGGCCTCAGAGCTTGCTACAGGGCAAGGGCCGCAGCCGCCGGAGCCGCAACAAGCAGGAGAAGTCCACCGCCTCCTTGGGTGAGTGCACCAGGAACTGACTGACTGATCGGCCCCCGCCCAGCCAGGCCACGGGGTGGAGGGCAGCCCTTACCTGTGAGCAGCAGTGCCCCAGGAGCATGACCCAGAGGCTGCTGTGAGCACTGAGCCCTCCTGGCTATGTCTTCCTAGACGATGTGTTCCTGCCCAAGGACATGGATGGGGTGGAGATGGATGAGACTGACCGGGAGGTGGAGTACTTCAAGAGGTAGGTGTGAGGCTGCCTGCTCTCCCACTCAGGGTGGACTCCAGCCCCTGTCCCCCGCCCCAGCTTGGGACACAGGTAGCCAGGATGGGTCATCTGGGAAGGTGCAAGGGACTGGGAGCAGGAGGGATCTCAGGCCCCAAGACGAGGGCTTTCTCCAGTTTTATTCACCTGCATTTCTCTGCTCCTGCCTGGGTTGAGTTTTGGGGGCAGTCTTATCTAGGTTGGGGGAGAAAGCCATATACATACAATCCAGTGATAAGAGCTATTAGAGGAGTAAAGACATGGGGCTAGAGCCTAGGAATGGCCAAGCTGAAGGATGGGGTGGCCCGGGCAGCCCTCCCCAAAGAGGCAGTAACCAGACTGAAACCTGAGGAATAGGAATGAGTGGGCCAGGCAAAATGAAAAGGGTTTGAGGGCAGGAGAAATACATCATCCTGGGAGGAACAGAAGACATCCCAGTTTAGCTAGAGTAAAATCCAGGGTGAGGAGGCTGGCTGTATGTTAAGGCAGGTCACTCTCTTCACACAGTGCCCCTTAGGCGTGTGGGTACCTCACCCGGGCAGCCCCTTACTGTTAGACCGAAACACCTGGGTCCGAGGGGTTGTACAGAGCTGACCTGGTTTCCTTAGTGGCCAGGGCTCACAGGTCTGGAAGTGGGTCCAGTGGGGAGAAGAGAGAACCTCTGGATTGTGCCCCCACCCCACCCCCTGCCTGGGCATCTCCCAAACCCGACAGGTTCTGTCTGGATTCTGCAAAGCAGACGCGTCAGAAAGTTGCTGTGAATTGGACCAACTTCAGCCTCAAGAAAACCACTCCCAGCACAGCTCAGTGAGGTATCGAGACCCCTCAAGTGTTTTGTGCACCCCTTCTTCCCATGCTCTGCCACATTTTGTGCCGCTGCCAGGCCGTTTCATGCTCTGGAGCACAGGGAGTTGGACTAGGTGCTTTGGCGGCCCCATCTCCTCTCCTGAGGGCCCTCCTGTCGGGCCCTTCCAGCACTGCCATCCTCTGGGGTGTCGCTGCCAGGCCTCTAGCTTCCCTCACCAGCTGCCTGCCAAATTGCCCAGGGGGCCATGGGCCTTAGAGGGCGGCCCCCACCCCTGACATTATCGGCCTCTGGGTTGAATCTAGTTGGCCTGGCCTGGCTCCTCCATGCAGGCTACCAAGGTGCTTCCCAGCTGAAGCCATGCAAAATGGACCCAGCCGCAAGAGAACAGTGAGAGGGCAGTCCCGCTAGACCAAGGCCTTGGAGGTCATTTAGGCGTAGAGGCTAGGTGGGCCCTCTTCCTCAAACAGGATGGGTTCCATGAGGAAACTGGTACTGAAGCTCCCTCCTGGAAGAAGAGCCTGGCCCCCAGCTGGGCTCTGGTCTCCCCTCCCAGCCACCGGCATAGGTCTTTTTATCTGAAATATTGACATATCAGATGTTGTTCCCGGCTAAAAACAGAAAACAGAAGGCAGTGGGCTGGAAACCCCCAAGGCAGAAGAGAAGACTGACTGGCAGCCTTGGTCCTGGGCTTGGGGCTTACTGGCTGTAGAGTGCCGTAGTTCACCCTAAGCTGTGTGCCCGTGGCCGGGCCTCTTCAGGCTAGCAAGCATACAGCTGCCTTTGAGGCAGTAGGGAGCTGGGGCGTGTGGGTTGAGCTCACCCCTCAGGAGGATGTCCTCTTTTGTCTCTTCCTCCTTTTCCCAGTGCCAGGGCAGCAGACTTCTTGGACCTTGACTGAGTCCCTGAGTCCCCTTTTGAGTCAAGATCCCCCCAACCCTTGACACTAGTCTCTGCTTCCCGGGGGCAGCCTTCAGGGCTGGGCTCCCTGTAGGCTGGTCACGTTGGCACTAACCCAGGGTCAGGGCAGTCCTTGGGCTCGGCTCAGCTCCGCTGCTCTGTGGGCCTGGGCTCCGTGGTCCTTTGGCATGGTATGTCCGCGCCCCCCAGGAGCTGCTGCCAGAGTCAGAGTGCCATCCTGCCTTTCTTCACCACCTCCACAGGAGCCAGGGGCTACCAGAACCCCAGGCACCTTCATCTGTTGCCCCTTTTGAGAGAAAACAAGTCACACTGCCTCCCCCAGCCCAGTGCCTCTGTTACGTAGGAAACCTCATCCAGCCATCTTCTCTCTCTCCCTTTTGACTGGTCTCTTTCTCAAGATGGGGGTGCTCCCCACCAATAAATGCCCTCCTTTGACCTTCTCCACCCTTCTCGTAGCCTTGCTTGTGAGCCCCGAGTGTGTGAGGGAGTTCTGCTGGTGCAGTCTGGGGGCCCAGCCTGGGCCAGGCACCTGGAGCCTGAGGCGGGAGTCAGAGCACAGGTGACCTCCACGAATCAACGGGAGAGGCAGGGCTCTTCCTCCACCCTCGCCTACAGCAGGGCGCTCTGCGTTCCTCTAGTGTTGTCCTCAAGTCCTTGAGATTTAGGATGATGTTCAATGGGGCGGGGGTTCTGTCTTAACCTTCATCCTCTGCTGGAGGTGATGGGGAAAGTCTGTTCGCTGTTTTCAGCCCAGCGGACAGAAAGAGCAGGCAACTGTTCCTGCCTCCATGGGGACCTGTGGAGACTCGGAGCCAGCACAGGGAGGCTGCCTTGGGGCCATTTCTCACCATGTGGCCATACTCTTCTGTTTTCTCAGCCCCTGCCAGAACCAGCTGCTTAAGGGTGTCCTGAGACCCCAACTGCCAGCCGAAGGTCTACAGTTTTCTCCATCACATCCCCACCTACCTGCCCAAGACCCCACTACCCACTCCACCGTCCTGGACCAACCAAAAGCTGAATAGATGCTGTTCATGCTGGGGCCCCTCAGGACCTCCGCAGAGCCGCTTCCTGGTGCTACGCAGCCCCCCACACTCAGAGCCCGGGGGTGGGCTGGCCTGTGGGCTTGGGGGCTGATGGTACTGCTGGCCCAACACTGCTCTTTTTGTGTTTGGTTTTTTTGTTTTTGTTTTACTTGTTTTTCAATTCTTTACTTTTGATACTGTGAAAATCTTTCCTGCCGAAAGATAAAGCAACATTTGGACACAGAGTCAGTGTGTTGATTAATGGATTACTCATCTGGGTGGGGCCTGAGGGTGAAGGATGTACTCGAGGCATTGTAGTCTGCCTTAGTCATTAACCTTCCTAAGCACATGCTACCACAAGAGGTTGGCATTGATTCCACTTAATTCTGTCAGCAATGCTAAGTGGAACTATTAGCCCATTTTATGGATAATGAGTTAAAGCCAGGAGAGCAAAGAGACTCCACTGAGCTCAGTTTGGCCAACTAGGATCCCAGGTGGTGCAGTGGTAAAGACTCTGCCTGCCGATGCAGGAGATGCAAGAGACTCAGGTTCGATCCCTGGAGTAGGAAGTGGCAACCTGCTCCAGTATTCTTTTTTTTAATCGAAGGATAATTGCTTTACAGACTTTTGTTGTTTTCTGTCAAACATCGACATGATCCAGCATTCTATAACTGGAAAATTCCATGGATAGAGGAGCCTGGTGGGTTACAGTCCATTGGGTCTCAAAGAGTCAGACATGACAGCACACACACACAAGATTAAAGCGTAGGTCTGTATGACAGTAGCATCTGTGCCATGTCCTCCTGTTAACAGGACGCCAGTGTGGAAACCCGGAGCAACCCCTTTCCCACACTGTGTCTCAGTTTCCCTGCTTCCAAGACGGGTGAGTTGGAAGGATAGGACTTGGCCTCTGTGCAGCTGATGTGAGAAGCTATCAGGAAGTCTTGAGGCCTTTGTGGATTGTGTGTGTACCTATAGCCTGGATGACTGAAGTTGTCAGGGAAAGGGATGGGGGGATAAAGTAAAGGTGGAGTTTTATAAGTTGGATCTGAGTTTTCAGTGGGCATGGATGTATTGCCAAAGTACTTGAGTGTTAAGAATGAACTCTTGTGTAAAGCAAACTACCTCATCCCCTGCTCCCCACCACGGATCTTGTTTGTGAATTCAGATTTTAATGTAACAGTTTTGCCAGAAATGCCTCACACACACTTTTGCCCCAAATCCTCACCTCCAATGCCATTTTCTCTGCTAGAACAGCTCTTAGCTTGTGCTCATGTGGGGAGTGACAATGGCAGCAGCAGGTCTTTGTGGAGTGTTGGGACCAGGATCCAAAACTACTCCCTCCTTCCCCACCGGGTTGAACCCTTTCCCCACCCTGCAACACACACACACACACTGGGCTAGCAGTACCACTTCTTCCAAAGAGGTGAAACAGCATTGACCACAGGCTCACAATTCTTGATCCCTTGGCCAGTCCTCAAGGAAGTGTGGCCACTTTTCTCTGAAACTTTCTCTGTATATTTATTACCTGTGCTTCAACTCTTACACTGGGATCCTGCTCAGCAATTGAATTGTCACAGCTATGAAAAATACTGCTTCATCTGCAGAGTTGCAGATCTGATCAAGCAGCTGCTTTACCCACAGAAAGTAAAAGTCACTCAGTCATGTCCGACTCTTTCCGACCCCATGGACTATACAGTCCATGGAATTCTCTAGGCCAGAATACTGGAGTGGGTAGCCTTTCCCTTCTCCAGGGGATCTTCCCAACCCAGGTCTCCCACATTGCAGGCAGATTCTTTACCAGCTGAGCCACAAGGGAAGCCCAAGAATACCGGAGTGGGTAGCCTATCCTCCACCGGATCTTCACGACTCAGGAATTGAACCGGGGTCTCCTGCACTGCAGGTAGACTTAGACTCTTTACCAACTGAGCTATCAGAGAAGCCCTTTCCCACAGAAAAAGAGCTCTATGAATGGTGTTCAGGGTCGTTCAAGTCTGGCTCCTGCCTCTGGCACACTCCAGCCACACCTGATGACCTGTCTCCAGCTAGGTCTGGCACCCTCAGGGCTCCTGACTTGCTCACTTGTTTCCCTCTTCCGAAATAACACTTTCTTACGAATACCACCTAATCCTTCACATTCCAGCTGAGAAGCCACTTTTTTACAGTTTACCCTGTGTGTGTTAGTTGCTCAGTCGAGTCAAACTCTGCGACCCCATGGTCTGTATCCTGACAGTTTCTTCTGTTTATGAAATTCTCCAGGCAAGAATACTGGAGTGGGTTGCCATTTCCTTGCCTTTATGCTAATTCCAAAAGGGATACTTTGTGTGTCTTAGGAGAGTTCTTAAACTCAAGATTGGTTATCTATCTCCACCTAATCTCTTTGGGCTTAGATGGTAAAAAATCTGCCTGTAATACAGGAGACCTGGGTTCAATCCCTGGGTCGGGAAGTTCCCCGAAGAAAATGGCAACCCACTCCATATTCTTGCCTGGAGAATTGCACGGACAGAGGAGCGTGGAGGGTTACAGCCCACGATATTGCAAAGAGGCGGATATGACTGAGCGACTAACACGTTCTCACTGTGCACAATGTCCAGTACACACTCTATCATTACAAAGGAAGAAAAGAACAGCACTAACCTATCCTCTTTAAAAGTTGAAATTATCCTGACAGTCAGCCCTGCACATTCTGGGTCTACCTTTCCAGCCTTAACTCTGATTATCCTACCCTACACAGGCCACATCTCTCTGTTCACTAAGAGACTTGGGCATGGCCAGAACTTGACTCCTGCTAGACCCTCTTATCTAGTTGAATGGTTATCAGGCCTGAATGGTTTGGCTGTCCAGACAGGGCACCTTTCTTTTTGTTTTTAAACTCATGTATGCAGAGTACATCATGAGAAACGCTGGGCTGGAAGATGCACAAGCTGGAATCAAAATTGCTGGGAGAAATATTAATAACCTCAGATATGCAGATGACACCACCCTTATGGCAGAGAGTGAAGAGGAACTAAAAAGCCTCTTGATGAAAGTGAAAGAGGAGAGTGAAAAAGTTGATTTAAAGCTTAACATTCAGAAAACTAAGATCATCACCTCATGGGAAATAGATGGGGAGGCAGTGGAAACAGTCAGACTACTTTTTTGGGCTCCAAAATCACTGCGGATGGTGACTGCAGCCATGGAATTAAAAGACGCTTACTCCTTGGAAGGAAAGTTATGACCAACCTAGACAGCACATTAAAAAGCAGAGACATTACTTTGCCAACAAAGGTCCATCTGGTCAAGGCTATGGTTCTTCCAGTGGTCATGTATGGATGTGAGAGTTGGACTGTGAAGAAAGCTGAGTGCCAAAGAATTGATGCTTTTGAACGGTGGTGTTGGAGAAGACTCTTGAGAGTCCCTTGGACTGCAAGGAGATCCAACCAGTCCATCCTGAAGGAGATAAGTCCTGGGTGTTCATTGGAAGGACTGATGCTGAAGCTGAAACTCCAATACTTTGGCCACCTGATGCGAAGAGTTGACTCATTGGAAAAGACCCTGATGATGAGATGGCTGGATGGCCTCACCGACTCGATGGGCATGAGCTTGAGTAAACTCCGGGAGCTGGTGATGGACAGGGAGGCCTGGCGTGCTGCGATTCATGGGGTCGCAAAGAATCGGACACGACTGAGCGACTGAACTGAACTGACTGAGACCCTCTTATCAGGAAGCCTCTCCCTCTCCTGCCCTCCCAGCAGCTCTGAGATTCCTCACTTCCCTATAACTTCAGATCCAGGTCTCCTCAAAGTCTTCTTTGGTTCCCCAGTTACTCTCGCAGCTCTATTATGGCATTTAGAATGATAATCGTTTGCATACATATACAGGCCCTCAGTTTAAAACCACAGTCATCATTTTGTTTATCCCTCGCCACTCTGAACATAGGTGTTTCACACAGATACCACCACCAGTATTCTCACCAGTCAGCGGCAGCGTGTGTGTTGAGTCACTTACTCTTCAAGCCCCATCCTGCCCTGCCTGCCTTGGCTGGTGCGGGTTAATAGGAGCAGGATAGAGTCCAGGCCGGCATCCCAGTTAGCCTGGTCTCTGAGCTTCCCGCCAGGAGAGGGCGCAGTGTCCACAAGCGAGGGCGTGCCGAGTGACGTCACGCCCTGGGCGAGGCTGGGCAGCCGGCAGGCCTCCCTCTTGGGGAACGGCGGTTTCCTCGCTTCTACCCGGCTCGGTTTGAGCTTTTAGCGCATGCTCGAAATGCTACAGAGTCACACAATGCCTTGCCTGACGCTTTCGCCCTCAGCCCCGGCAACAGCTGCGTAGCCGCCTACAGTGGGCGGGGACACCGCACCGCACGACCGACGCTTAGGAGAAAATTTGTCCTTCTCCGCGATCCGGCACTCAGAGGTCGTTGCTAGGTGCCGACGTCCGCTTCCTTACACCTGATTGGGTTTCATCATAGGTGGGGCGGGGCTTTACTGTGGTGCGCATGCGTGCAGCAAAGGATGGCGGAATCGGAACCTGAGCGGAAGGTGGGAGAGAGATTGGGGTCCGCGCGGGTGGAGAGCAAAGGTAAAGGCCGGGGGTCCGGGTCTGACTTGTGTGTGTCTGCAGCGGGCTCGCACCGACGAGGCGACTGCCACAGGAAGCCGCTCCGAGGCAGAGGATGAGGACGACGAGGACTACGTGCCGTACGTGCCGTTGCGACAGCGCCGGCAACTGCTGGTGAGGACCCTGGGTCGCGGGAGGAGGGCAGGAGATGGGGGTTTAGCGATGCGATGGAGGGTGGCCCCGGGTGCGCGGAGTGAGGCGTCAGTACGCGGGAGCGTGGTCCCCAGGCAGACGAGGAACTGGCAATCTCATCTGAGGAGTGGGGCAGCTCTGCGCCTCCGAGCACAGGACACTCTCCCAAAAGCCAGGATCCTGACGCAGGCCCCCGGGCCCGATGCCCCACTTTGCGTTGGGCTTGGCTCTGAGGGGCACTGGTGGAACCTCAGCTCCAGAAGCTGCTGCAGCGAAGACGCAAGGGAGCTGCGGAAGAGGAGCAGCAGGACAGCGGCAGTGAGCCCCGAGGAGATGAGGACGACATCCCGTTGGGTCCTCAATCCAAAGTCAGCCTCTTGGATCAGCACCAGCATCTCAAAGAGAAGGCTGAAGGTGGGCTGGGCAGCAGACCGGAGGCTCAGCATGGCGCACGGCTTTGGTGTCTCTCTGACACCTTCTGTTTCTTTTGTCAGCCCGCAAGGAGTCTGCCAAAGAG